CCTCCATCCATCAATTCCTCCATCCCTCAAATCATTCATCCATCCATCCTTCCATCCCTCCCTCCATCCTTTCATCCTCCCTCCATCCTTCCATCAATCCATCTCCATCCTCTCCTTCCCTGGCTCCCTTCCAGCCTCTGCCTGCCTGCCTCTCCCTCCCAGCCTCTGCCTGCCTGCCTCCCTCCCTGGCTCCCTCCCAGCCTCTATCCCTGGCTCTCTGCCAGCCTCTGCCTGCCTTCCTCCCTCCCTGCCAAGCTCTGCCTGCCTGCCTCCCTCCCTCCCAAGCTCTGCCTACCTGCTTCCCTCCCAAACTCTGCCTGCCTGCCTCCCTCCCAAGCTCTGCCTGCCTGCCTCCCTCCCAAGCTCTCCCTGCCTGTCTCCCTCCCTCCCAAGCTCTCCCTGCCTTCCTCCCTCCCTGCCTTTTCCAGCCTGCCTGCCTACATTTCAGCCTCTCCATCCCTGTCTGTCTGCCCATCCACTCACCAGTCAGCCATCACTGACACAATGAGTGAATTTGGAGCCAACATGGTGCACGGATGTTCCTTGATTGTGCAGATATGTCCAACAAAGTCACGGAATGAACACTCCAGCCTCTTGACAAATCAAAATATAGTGTTAAAATTAAAGTTGCAGTAATTTTAGTGTATTTTAGTGCAGGCAGTTTTCATAAACTGTATTGTAGTACTCAACATACAGCAGAACTACTCAACACAGTGTTAATGGCATAATACACTACAGTATGTATTTACTGTACAGCATTCACAACTCCATGAGACTTCAAGATGGACATAACTCCAACAATAAGGTAAATAACGAATGTAACATAGTATTTGTTAGTAGAGTAATAATATATAGGTACAGTATATAATATGATAATGCATTTTTATTGTCTAAAAGAAAAAATAGACACTCATAAAAACACCTCCTGAAGGTCACCTCTTGCAATGAACTTGCAAAAACGATTCTTCGCGGCAGGGGATCGTATTCCAGGGACCTGTCCGAAACGCTACGCGTACTAGTGGCTGTACAAGAATGTAACAACTCTTGTATATATCTCCAAAAAAAAAAAAAAACAGGGGTTGGTCCCATATAGTACGTTGAATCGAGGTTGTACTGTAATTATTTTTTTTTACATATCTAATCAGGGAAGGGTATTTAACATTTTCAAAAACAAAAAGAATTTTTTTCCTGAGAATTTATTTCCTGCACACAGGGGGGGGGGGGGTGTTGCCATATTTGGAAGGCGAGCAGCACAGTGGTTAACCCTTTAACTGCGCCGCCTCCATATATGACACCCCCCCCCCCTCCAGTGTGCAGGAAATAAATTCTCTTGGAAAAATTCTTTTGTTTTTTTAATGTGTCAAAAACCTTTCCCTTAGTATGGGTATGTCAAAAAAATTTTGAAATTGTACTTACTTTGGTTGCTATGGGGTTCGTAAGTTGGCGCGTAAAGTGATCATTCCCCATTTGCCCGTGACGTACGCTCCCGGGGCCAGTAGGGTGCGCGAGTTGCCGCGAATATATTTTTGTTCATTTTTTTGCGCACAGTTCCAAATACATTTTATTTGTTTTTACGTGCTAATCCTATGTATAATGAACATGTAGACTATATTATGGCGGTAAAACATCCATACTGTGTTACATGCATGACATGTGTGTCAACCCGTTCTTGCACTTTCTTTAAGTCAATATTGACTTATTAAGAGCATATGTGACATACTAATTTATTGTGAATATTTTAGTTTACCTTGAAAAGCTTCATATAAATCACCGATCTTACCTAACCTTCTTAGTATGTTAAGATAAGCATCTTATTGCTTCGTAATTACAATTATTACTTAACCTATTATAGGTATAGGTTATCTTGAGGTTATCTTGAGATGATTTCGGGGCTTTAGTGTCCCCGCGGCCCGGTCCTCGACCAGGCCTCCACCCCCAGGAAGCAGCCCATGACAGCTGACTAACACCCAGGTACCTATTTTACTGCTAGGTAACAGGGGCATAGGGTGAAAGAAACTCTGCCCATTGTTTCTCGCCGGCGCCTGGGATCGAACCCAGGACCACAGGATCACAAGTCCAGTGTGCTGTCCGCTCGGCCGACTGGCTCCCAGGTTAAGTAATAATTGTAATTATGAAGCAACAAGATGCTTATCTTAACACTTTCTGCTGATGAGGACTCCGCCCGGAGTCCTGTTTCGCCTCACCGCTTCCGCATGGTGGACATAAATTTATGTCCTCTTTTAAAATATTTGCATAAAATTCCATTTTAATCCGATTTACTTTGGGTTTGTTTCAAACTGCGCGCCATGAGGCTCTCTTTCTCACCACTAGGCTGCATGGTACAATAAGTTCAAGAAAGGTGTGGACCACTTCGATCAAATGGTATTACCATTTTACCCGGAAAACTCACAAGTGGACCTAAAAGATAACGTTTTATTTCCTGCAAATGGCTTTGCATAATGCCTTTGTTTTGTACAAATACAACACAACTGATCAAAAAAAGCTAACATTGCTACAGTTCCACGAGGTGGCAAATTGGGCCCTATTGTGCTGGGACCCGGAAGATTGGCCTCAAACAGCAACAGTATCTCAACACTTGCGGCATGCTCCAGACATAAATGATGACACAGGTCCTGCCTATGCTGACGCCATGCAAACTCCTGGACCATCTGGTGTGAGGCGGCCCTTGTTCACTTCAACACCTCAAACTGAAGCAGCAACCGAATCAAAACCCGAGATGTCTGGCACACTGCCATTTGACGAGACGGTTTTGTCAGATGACTCTGCCTCAAATGTTGAACCTCCAGCAATTCAGTTGATTCTGAAAATCGCATGAACTACAAACTGAAACGAGTATTTTGATACCAGAATGAACACTATCACATAAACTGCCATAAGTAGACTCGAACCTTCATAGATATTTTTTTGGGTGTAGCGTGTGTCCCAAACGGGTTGCAGATGGGTGACTTTAGCCGTTTATACTGGTAATGTATTTTGTATTTTGATACCAGAATGAACACTGTATCACATAAACTGCCATAAGTAGACTCGAACCTTCATAGATTTTTTTTTGGGTGTAGCGTGTGTCCCAAACGGGTTGCAGGTGGGTGACTTTAGCCGTTTATACTGGTAATGCTTCCCCCATATCATGTATTATATGCATATGTCTGTTTAGGGAATTTTATTCCGATCAATGTACAACCAAAAATAACTGTGTGCAACAAGTATAAACTTGACAAACATAACAAAAGTAAAAACATTTCGTGTGTGTTTGACGCTCACTGATATGTTCCAGCGTTGTTTTATATTTGGCGCTATTCAATCTTACACTTTGTTGATCTTTTTTACCTACGAGCTCATAGAACATTCTATTGCGAACACATTGACACAAAAATGAATGACGTACATAGAATAATAATGTCAGGAGAGTGAAATAAGTATAAACTTTCAAAGCGCCGTATCGCACATGTGTCGTCCCGTCACCGATACCGGGTAACAATTTCACCACTTCCCACACTCTTGCGGGTGGGCCGCAATCATTATTCTACGTTTATATTCATATCACCGTGTTGGGAATTTCATTGTGAGTCCATTGATACCAAAATTAACGCTGTAGGACAAGTGTGGAGGTGATAACAATCCCAAGAGTAAAAACATTTTGTTGCTGTTGGGCGCTCACGGCGAGTCATCTTCGTAGTTATTTATTTGGTGCTGGTATCCCTATACGTTTCGTGACTTTTCTTACTGATGTTCTTCTAGAGAATTTTATTGCGAACACGTTGGTACCAAAATGAAATATGTAGCTCGAGAACTAAGGTCAGGAGAGTAAAAAGAGTATACACATTTTTGTTTTTACGCTTACGTGGCAAAAATGCCGCGCGCACATACCGCTTTTTTTTTTTACCATCCCAGGGGGCGCGAAAGTGTTATCATACTAAGAAGGTTATAAGAACCTATTATAGGTATAGGTTAAGTAATAATTGTAATTATGAAGCAACAAGATGCTTATCTTAACATACTAGAAGGTTAGGTAAGGTCGGTGTTTTCTATGAAGCTTTTCAAGGTATACTAAAATATTCACAATAAATTAGTATGTCACATATGCACGTATTTAATAAGTCAATATTGACTATATGAAAGTGCGAGAACGGGTTGCGTGTGTACACATATCTGACACATATTTCCATTGTATCATGCTAATTTATGTATATATATACAGTCTATTTACACACTATACACTATATACATTCACCATGAACACACTCAGAACTCTGCGACTGTCAGCTGCCACACCCTCACTCCTCCAACATCTTATTCTCCAACATTGCTCCACCCACCATGCTGTTATTGTTTTTATTACACTATTTACACATGTTATATATACCTATCTACATGTTTTATTTACCAGAACTATGCAAGTAAGCCGGTATTGTGTCCAAACAGTATAGTGGCCACCATACACTGCATGAGAAATCCCACAGCAGACGACGCTACGATTACGTCGTCACCTCCCTCACCAAAATTCCTCCTTCCACAATACTATGGGTAATGCTAATTATAACCACAATCCTGTTCACTAATTCCTGTAAATGAATAATTGACCACAAGTTTATTTTGAAAAGGAACCTTAGAAGTCGTTTGGAGATTCCTAGATGGATGAAATAATGCTGTGGTGCTGTGGCTAGCACTGTCAACATCGTGAACAGCATTGAATCACTGATATTTGAACATTGTACCCAGTCATTATCACACTCAGGCTCTTCTATAATACTATCATGACTAAATAATACAGGTTATATATATATTTTGACATTATTAGGCGATGCTGTGGTCACACGCTGAACAGCAGTGCTGTGCGCTCATGCTGCGTGCACTGGCTTTGGTTGCTCACTCACTACTGAGGCTCTCACACCTGGAAATGTGGACCATGATTTTATTTAAAGATGACTTCTGTTTACAAGAGCCCTGAGGAAGCTGATGTGAACCCCATGTAGCCGCGGGAGTTTTGAATGGAACGTGAAAAATACAAATACCTGTAGGCGCGTAGTGCACCCCCAGACGTGGGCCTGCAGGCGCGTTATGCAGTTAAATAATTAAAAAGAATTTTTATTTTATTTTTTGTGCAAACTACCATGTGGTTCATTGTTCATGTACATAAGAGAGTTCAAATCCACTTTCTGTTCTGTAAAAGAGCAATGCATTTCTTCCTTACTGTCTACGTCGTCATAATTACCAGGGTCAAGCTCACTTTCACACTCGATAGTTTGTCGTTCTTCCTTGATACTTGAACTTGAGTAAAAGTTATCTTTTTGAAGACGCAAGATAGTGTTTAATTCTTCTTGAATCTGCTTCTCAAAATCTGGACAGTCATCTTTAATTGGTTTGCCAAAGAGCCAGCTAGAGCCTACTTCGCCAGCAGTGTGCATATTAAGGTTCTGAGAAGAAAAAAAAATAGTTAATGGACAATGAAAATTTCCATCCGAGGAATTTAGGATGACATTTCTCACAGCTTCAGAAAGATGCAATACTGTAAGCCACTCCTCTCTATTCAAGTGGAGTTTCAAGAAATTATGTTGTTTTATATGAAAGGAGTTAGTGAATACTTATGAGTACCAGTAATAAAACTTTTCTTATTAGAAACACTACAACTGACATCCTTTTAAAATATACACCAAAAGTACCATCTTCATTTTTACTTCTCTTGATTCATTTATGAGATATCAAAGGCCTAAACATTCTGGTATAAGATAATATTTAGCCAATCAATCCTTTAACAATTTAATTTAGATTGCTTGGAAATATCTTGAGGAATGCTCATTAACCCTTAAATGGCGCATAGCTATATACCATTTGACACCCACAGGCGCATACCAAAAAAAAAAAAAAAAAAAAAAAAAAAAAAAATTATTTTTTCTTCCTAACCTGTTAATTTGTGTTCACTGATCACGGGAAAAATAATAAAAAAATCGTAAGTGGCATATATTGCCCACTATAGGGCGGGGAAGTGTGGCAAAAATCAGGCGCTGACTGAGCGTGCGTCCCAGGCGGTCTGTTGATCGCCAGCTGTCAGGCCAGAGTTTCCACAAAGAGATAATTACCTAATTATTTCAATGTCTCTGATTGATTTTTCGTAGTTTTTTTGCTGTAATATTATTCAATAGTGTGTAGTGTGATATATTTATATAATAAAATGAGTGAATCATCGCTGTACTCAAAAATATGGTGTGCATATTGTTGATTCAATTATGTTCATCAAACAGTGAACAAATACTTTGTCGGTTATTACACTATATACACAGGTTATATATAAGTATCTGCATGTTTTGTTCACCATGACAAACTACTAAGTTGGTATGCTGAGTGGCCCTGGCAGTGGCAGGCAGTGACTGGCTGCCACTAGCTGCCACTCCCTCCCTCACCTCACCTGACTTGCCACCATTCTCCACCCACCATACTGTTTTTGCTTTTATATACAGACGTTATATATAAGTATTTACATGTTTTGTTCACCATAACTGTACATCTAAGCTTGTATGGTGAGTAAAGGCACAGAGACGTTGCTACTCACACAGTCAGCTGGTGGCGGCCGCCCTCAAGGCCAGACGCACTAATATTTCTCCTACAACAATACTGTTTGTGGTGTTATTATGCTATATACACACATTATATATAAATATCTACCTGTTTTATTCACCATACTTGTACAAGTAAACTGGTATGGTGCCCAAAGACCATCGTGGTCATCAGTAAACAACATGATAAGTCCTGCAGACGACGCTCCTCCCTCACCAAAATGGCGGCTCCCAACCTCCTACTCTCGCTGTTATCTCACACTATACACACGTTATATATAAGTATCTACATTTGTGTTCACCATAGCGAACCACTAAGCTGGTATGGTGAGTGCAGTCAATAAAAGGTGGCCACACACACTCAAAAGACAACGCCACCATCCTCCCTCCCACAGCATTACTCCTCCCTCCATGGCGCACAGCGCCAAATATCACCACAATCCTGCTATTATCAGAACCCTGGTCAGTTTTATCACAGTCAGGGGTCTTCTGTAATAATATCATCGCTACATAATAGCATGAACAAGTATATTATGGCATTTTTAGGCGATGCTGTGGTCACAAGCTGAACAGCAGTGCTGTGAGCTCATGCTGCGTGCGTCAGGCTTGGTAGCTCACTCAATACTGAGGCCCCTAACACCCGGGAGTTTGGCCCACGATTTTTTTTTAAAATGGCGTCTGTTTACAAGAGCCCTGATGAAGGTGTGGTGAACCCCGTGTATCCGCGGGCCGTTTAAATCTTGCGTAGTACTCCAAAGCATCACATGATGCGATGCGCAATTTACTGCAAGTCGGTCAAAGCATCATATGATGCGATGCGCAATTGAAGGGTTAAGTGCCCGGGTCGGACACTGAGCAAGCAGTACCTGAAACCAAGGCTGGGCTGACCACCAAGGAACTAAAAAGATTACCTTAACCCCAGAAGACTCCAACCACGCCAGAATCCAGAGCAACAGCCGAACTGGGGAAATGAGGTAAAAGAATCCCCATCTCGACCAGTGCAGCTGAAAGGTGGCCATTGCTAGAACCTAGCAGTCAGGGAACGGTGTCACATAAGACGCAGAAGCAGAGACCAAATCGACTCAAAAATGTTGATGTCCAGCAAACCTACCGAAGAGACCAAGTCATTTCAATTATGCCTGAAGTTACCCCACTCCGAGACCTCGACGAAGGAGAGGGGAGGGAGCCTGCCCCAAAAGACCCAAACACCCCAAAGGAGGCAGAACCGACCAATTTCCCTGCAGGCCACAAGTAATGGCCTGAAAAAAAAACAAATCACAGGACCAAGAGTTGGTAAACCGAGCAAACAGCCAGCCTTCCGAGCAGGCTCCCTGGAGCTTATCTGGCTAATGTTTGTTATATTAGACCGGGACATTAGCTAGGGAGTTCAGACCTACCAGGGACCAGCCCCAGAACCTGGCCCCTTCAGAGAGGTTTCAGGGAGCAATGGCCCTGGAAAACCCCCTTATGGTTGGGTTTTCCTTATCTGCTATCGACCGTGGTTAGGCACCCACAAAGGTAGGCATAACAAAACAAACCCCACATGGTAAAAAACTAAAACAAAAAACCGAACAGAGAGGTAGAAACTCCCTACAATCCCAAGGAAACAAGCAAACATCACACTTTACTGCCATGCCGATCGTCCGCATAGCCTTCCCCGCCCCGAGAGGGGGAGGGGGAGCCCCGGACCTACCACGCCGGCTGCCTAGCATCAGTTCGGAAGCTAAGCTTCAACCAACTCGAAAAAAAACGCCGACCGGTGGGAGGGAGGGTTGCGAGGGACCCTCCGGGGCTCACCCAGAAAATGGCGTTTCATTAGATTCAACGCTGGTTTTCTGTGTGGAGCCCCTACGGCTCTTTGGAGCTTCATACCCAAAGAGAAAGAAAAGAAAAGGCTGACCCGGGAGGCGGCTGCCACAAACTCCGCAACGTGGAGCCGAAACAACAGGCTGCAACCTGTGACCCAAGGCAACAAGAACGCACAGGAGCAGATGCGCATAAAGAATGGGCGGCCAAAAACCTGTGCGACCCTCAAATCCCTGCGCCTGAAATGAGCCCTAGACGTCACCAACAGCAGCAAAAGCTGCAAACGTCCGAACAGCACAGGCGCAAGGACAGACCGCAGGCTGGAAGACTTAAAAACTCTGCGGACGACCTGGGTGACCCGAGGCCTGAAACAGGGAACGAGGGGAACCAGATCAACCCAAAGCGCATCCCCAGACATGGTACGCATGTAACGGCAAAAATAGTGCAACCTGACCACACAGGATGCACCCCCCCCCCCATCCAAACCAATCAAGCATCAATAACCCAAGAACCCCTCCAGAAAGCATTCATCTCGACCATCTCGATGGAGAAAGGGTGCAAATGTACAAACCTACCACCAGTACCAAAGAGCAGAAACCTGAACCGAAGGGGTTACCACAAACTGAGGAGAAGATAAAAAGGCACCCTGATCAAGGACTAGGACGGCTCAGGCAACTCATGAGCAGGTTGGATGTGAAACAAAACACGAGAAAGCGTACAAAACGGGGCAAATGTGACTTCCACCCCGAATGCAAGCCGGAGCGGCTCCGCCAGCGCCGCACAAAACAAGGCAACAGTAAGAAACATCAAATAACTGTAGTCCTGAAAACCCAAGAAAGGACAAGACAACCCGATGCGAAAGAGAAAACCTACGAAGCACAAGAAAAAGTGCATAGAAACACCAGGAACGTCATACTGTCGCCGAGACGAGGCTCGCAAGAGGGACACAGTCAACAAAGTCACCTGATCACCACAGAGATGGTGATACCCACGTCAAAATACCAGACGCAAAGAGCCGAGGAGAAGGCCAAATCAGTCACTTAGAGGACCGATCCGAACTGCCAAAAGAGGCGGAGCCGCGGGAAAATGCCCCGGGTTCGGACACCTATCAAGCAGCATCTGAAAATAAAGCTGGGCCGGCCACCAAGGGTCCATAAGAACTACTCTTGTGGGAATGGGCTCCAACTGAGCCAGAACCCAAAGCAACAGCTGGACCAGGAGAAGAGAAACAGGTACCCCCACCTCGACCAGTCCTACCGGAAGACATCCACCGTGAACGCCTCACAGGTGGGTAAGGGCACCACATTCGGTGGTCGTTAAGACGAGATCTTTCAAAAGAAGATAAGGAGAAGCTGAAACTGAACCTCGCCGAGGCAAAACGTTTAAAATGAGAGCAGGAATGAAGAAGAAATCAATTCTTTTTTCTACAAAGTGATAGGGGTAGGCAGACCAGTAAAGTGGTACATAAAGGCAAACCAACAAAATCATTAGAGAGAGGGAGAGTGAAGAAAAAGAAGAGGGGGAACAAGTTCCTGAAGATTGCGTACACCAACATAGATGGAGTAAGATCGAAGGTACTGGAGTTAAGTGATGTAATACAGTGGCAGACACCAGACATTGTTGCACTCACGGAGACTGTTACGACCCTGGGTTCCTCAGTTGGAAACCAGAGGTCAAATTGAGCTAAATAAACTACCTTATATTATGTGGGACGCTTGCCGATGTGTCTTTGTTCGTATCTTCCTTGCCAGACGTAAGACGAATCTTGTTTCTCACAGAGCATTTAAAGACTGAGCTTGTGGTTGATTATTAATTAATAAAAAAGGCATCAACTATGTTTACAAATGATTAGAAAGTATTAGTAAAGTAGATCCAAGTAAATTTGGATATAGGGCTGCTGTACGATTAGCTGAGTAGTTGGCCGGCAGCGAGTCAGCTGGAGGAAGCTGAAACTGGAGACGCTCCTCCTCCTCTGGTTGGCGTCGTGATGAAAACAACCTTCTCCCCTTCCTCCTGCTTCTCTCCCTTACCTATTTCTGTGTCTAGTTTACCAAGAT